TGTTGACCTGCATACGGACAGCAAGAATCATCAGAATATTCTTGCTCAGCCTGATTGCGGAGTTAACTGGGTGCTACTGTTGTCTCAAATAAAACTTTCTCTTGCGCGCACATGAGATCTAGGCGTGCTTTAAAGCTGAATTTGAAACATTTAGGTCGCACATGAACTTAGAATGACCTTGTGAAACTTCAATTTCCTAGCTGAGCAGTTTGGAGAAATTGCTGTTCGTTATAAACGACTTTGACGGTTTCGAATATATGACAGGAGTGCAAGCCAAAGTTATTTTATGCCCGCGTGATCGCATATGCTACATGACCACGTATAAAAATTATTCTCATAAAGTCAGTGCATCCTATTTAATCTGATTCTCGATTAGGCATTTTGCTGACGATGCTTTAATTTCAAATTCGACATACAAGTATTTATGATGCCGATGCATATAACAAGCTGAACTTGAAATCCTTAACTTACACAAAAGTCGTTTCACGTTAAAAGCTTACACAAAGGTCGTTTGAAATTTCATTTCCCTGTCTTGTTTGGTTCCCGAGATTGTTTCACGCTAAAAAATATGCATGTTTTCTTTCAGACGTCAGAACGTAAAACTTAGACGTACGTGGAAGACTGTATTAAAGCAGTAGGGTTGCACATGAGGTGGGGGTATGCTCTAAATGTTTAAACTTCAAAGCTTCTTTTTTTGCAAAGTTAAGACAGATGATAACTGCAACAAACACTCACGAATTACTTCTTGCCAATATGTTTTTGCATTTGCATAAGTATGCAAAAACACCTTATGTAAGATAACAGGCAAAATACATCAAGATTTCCAATCGTGAATAAAGCCATTTTTGTGAACGAACAACAGTGTGAAAGGATGGAAGGAATCGAACTTTTCATCTTCACTATCACCCGAAATCATGAAATATAATTTGCTAGCGTTGGGTCACAGGTAATGTTTTTGTGTAATCGCCCAAATCCGTTGTAGGATTTGTTGCAGCCTTTTAAACCTTTATATTTTTTTCGAGGAGATGCTCGCTGCATTTCACAGATGTAAATACGAATCCACTGGAATTCGCACCATGACACTGTTAGGACTTGTCAGTAAAATCTCACTGATACAAATCGAGATTCATCTGACCAATTCATAACAAATATTTCCTCATTTTTGATCTAACAATTGCAAATATAAATCTTCTTTTTAGCTAGAATGCGA